CGTCTTTGGATTTGTTTAGGTTTTCAAAAGCCTTGGTAGAGATGTTTTTTTGTCACTTCGAACGCTGATATCAGTTAGTGTGTAAACTTTTCCATTTCTGTCTTTCATAATAATATATGGCCGATTTTTTTTGTATTGTTCGATATGTTTTGATAGGAAAAGAAAAAAAAAAACAGGAGGATGGTAACATCTGCTCCCTCAACTACAGTTTTAGGATGATGCTCATATCATTTTGCAGCTGTTTTTTTTTGTTTTTAGTGGTGACAGATCTTGCAATGCAGATATTGACCTACCTTGTCATGACGGTTTTTGTCCTCATTAGGTATAAGTATTGAACATCTTGGTATAAGGTGATCAATAGTTTCAATGTATTGGTCACAGAATCTACGTCTTGGGTTCGTACTATTATACAAGATATTAGTTTGGTAATTGCGTGCATTATTATTATTATTATTATTATTATTATTATTATTATTATTATTTGTGTATGTTATGTTTCCTGCTTTGCATCCAAGAGCCGGGTTCAAACGATGGCACTTAGGCCCTTTAGGCGAATTGTCACTTATATTGATAGCACTTTTCTTAGTATATGGGAAGTTCCTCGTAGGGCGATCTTCTGGGCATGTATGTTGATGTGATCTCGGACACAGTAAAATTGTCCATTCCATTTCTCACGAGGCCCAGACCTCCAATTACTATTGGTACAGTCTCAGTCTTCATTCCCTACTTCCTGTTGTTGTTGTTGTTGTTATTATTATTATTATTATTTCCTTTGATTTCTGGTGTATACTCATTTCTTTCCGGGTCCCGACTCGAGAACTAAGGTTTGAAATGGCATCATGACATTTTCCACTGGGCAGTTTGAAAAAAAAAATCACATACATTTTACATAGATAAAGCCCTTCGTAAGGTGTGGGCTGTACTTGTGAGAACAAATTTTTGTGTTTTTTAAAGGCATGAGCTACCAGAAATCCCTTTCAATGAGTTTATTCGAATCTTTTCCAATGAATCCGAGGGCTCCAACTACAACTGGAATTGGTGGTATTATTATTATTATTACTGTGCTTGTCGCTCACTTCGTTAGTTCGCACGTCCATTATGTCCTGCCAATAAATAATGGACTATTCTATTCTGATCGTGTGGAAAGTGGGGGACACTACTCGGTTTCAATGAGAAAATATAAAGAAAGAAGGGAAGATAGAAATATTTAACGGCTATTTCAGTGAAATAGAAATTTTGTCAAATTCAAATCTTTTCATTTGTACCCCCTTACTTCTTGAAATAACGATCAGAATTATGATTGTTATTGCAATAATTTGTTAAAGTTGTTAAGCTCAAATATGTAACGATGCGATAGGGGAAATTATACGGATATTTTGTTGTCGTAGAACGCGCCATGAGCTTACTCAACCATTAACTAAGAATTAAGTTTCTTCAGAAATTTCAAATAGGAAAACCATGAAATTTCTACGGGTGGAAACTACTACTACTTCTAATTATTTACACATATTAGATATTTTATACACACTTTAATATATATATATATATATATATATATATATATATATATATATATATATATATACATATATAAAGCTGATGATTCGTATTTAAAGAGAGTTCCTCCCCCAGACCCACCCGTACACACATGACAAAGACGCACGCAGATATATATATGGATAATATCCATATTCATGTATATTCATATATACTCAGATGCAACCTCATATGTATGTATTTCTGTTCAAGTTATACACACATACTTGCATGGTTGCGCTCCTCACACGCACGTGTGCACATACTTATTTACGCACACATGTATTCATACGCACAAACATATACACATTCATGAGCGCACTTGCATATATAGAAAGGCCGACACAGATGTTCCATGGTAATAAATATGTCGAAAGGAGAGACATCAGCACATAACAGGTCAGTGTCGAATATTAAAAAAGAAAAAAGTCAGGGCAAACAACTTTGTATCTGTAGACGCAGTGACACACGTATATACGATCTGCTCTGCACTCAGTAACACTAACCCTCGCTTCGGATCAATACGTTGAGTCCAGTAACAAGTGAATAAGGAAGACGTACTGAAGTTGACCAGAACTTGAGAGGAAGATTCTAACTTTCCTCTTCATTATGGATTATATAAACTCCATATATTATTATATAAACTCCATATATATATATATATATATATATATATATATATATATATATATATATATGAACCCCCAAAATAACACTTTCAAAGTAAAGTAAAAATAACAGCGTCTGTTTCTAGAAAATTAGTGACATCTTCTCTTCTCTTCTCTCTTAACTTCCTTCTCTTTTTCTCTCTATGGGTTTTTTTTTCTCTACCCTTCGATTTCAATATATAACTTCCGTTAAGTTAACCGTTTAAATGTGTCAATATCTGCTAACTCATTCATGTCTCTCTCTCCCCCTCACTTCCTCACTTCGTTAATTTACATATGTTTAATACGGCCCGACAAAATGTGTAAATTTTCTTTTTCATTTTTGTTTGGAAGTAAAGTCTGATGATCCACAGTCCTTTAAAAGGGCTGTGGTGAAATAATTTATTACATGGAACCTTAAAAGTGGTCTGTTTTTTTTTTAAATTATTTGCTCTGGATTTACATCGAGCTCTCTGGATTTTATCCTCCTTAGGTTTATCCATACGGATTACCTAGTTTTTCATAAACTATATATATATATATATATATATATATATATATATATATATATATATATATATATATAGGGAGGCACAGTGGAGTAGTGGATAAAGATCGGAATCGGAGAGCCGAGTTCGAATTCCAGTCGAATCCGTTAGATTCACTTACGTGCTAATACCCTTGGGAAAGATATGAATCATCTACTCCCCAGTTATGGGTAAATAGCAGGACAGACCGGGTTCTATAGCCTGAATTTAAAACCTGTTGAGGGTCGTTTGGGGACCTTGTGGCACGTAGTGCACCAGGTCTCTGTATTCAGCCCTTCAAAGTGTGTGGATGGTTCTACACAAAATCTTTATAACTATAATTAAATCTCATGAGCTGGTATCGGGCTGTCGGTTCCTAGGAACTGATCTGCTTGACCCTCATACGTCGAACCTTAGCGTTGCGATTGCACGCTCCAAAAGTTTGTATCCGTTAACAATAACACATTTAAAAAAAAAAACACATATTTCGATTCGCATTTAATTTTTTCGTCTCTTTTGCTACCTGAATTTTTCCAAAACAAAATAATTTCCATGCCTGAAGATGACTTAATGTACAGTTGAAAGTACTTGCGTATTAAAGAAAGGCCTTATACAGCTTATAATTTTTAAAAACAATGATCATAACATTCATCGAGTGATTTGTAGGTTAATTTAAAATTTTGTTTGCGAAGGAATTTCGCCATTTTATAGCATTAACTTTACTAATCTACTTTTGTATGAATGATTCATTTAATATATATATATATATATATATATATATATATATATATATATATATATATATATAGAGAGAGAGAGAGAGAGAGAGAGAGAGAAGGGATGTTTTTTTTTTAATTATTTATCCGGCAGATTTTATTACTTAAATGTTATTTTTAGTGGATAAACAGTATATTTATTTATTTTCGTCTACCGGCCTAAATGTTTGAGAAAACTTATTAGAGAAAAATATGCACCCTCCGGCAGGATTCGAAACTTGAAACTCGAAATCTGACGTGCTTTAGAACTCTCGGCCACGGAATGCTTCGATGGTCAATCAACAAACAAAAAAAAAAAAAAAGCAAACAATATCAATCCCTTTCTTTAGAAAGTGCTTTGTTTACGTTAGGATACGAAACTAAACAGATATGTCTATCTCGAGAGTCAGAGAAATATCTCCGTTTAAAGGCACTATTCAAGTTTACTTTGTTATCAACGCACTTCATAGCCGAGAGGTCTAAAGCAAGTCAAATATGACTTTTTGATAAAATCGGCCTGGGGAAAAGATCCCAACATGCGGCGTCGTTGGGAAGCGTGTGAAAACCATACCACGAGTTGACCCAAACCTTCTGTGTGAATTTGGGTGGCTGTGTTAGCGTGAAGTCACAAGTCATCGTGACCGAGGGTGTGAACGTTTCATTCAAACTGTTGATTACGACAGATGATGCATTCTCTCCCAAGATCTGTAAATAATGTCCACTCTGCATCACTCAGTCAGTCATGTTCTATGCGTGATACACGCTTAGGCGTTCATGTATCTTTCGATACATGACTGACGAGGCAGATTTTTTCCGCAGTGGTTTGCCATTTCTTTCTGCGGTAGTTGCCATCGAAGGCTATAGAACCCGGTCTGTCCAGCAATTTAATCATAGCTGGGAGTAGAAGATTCATATCTTTCCCAAGAGTATGAGCACGTAAGTGAATGTAATGGACCTGACTGGATTTCGAACTCCGATTCCTCAATCCGAGCCGCTATCCATTAATCCACCGAGCCTCCACCGTGTATAGTTGCAGCATAAACAACAGGTTGGCTCTGCGGATGTTGCACAAAAAATGTAACTGAACAGGTGTCTTTTACAGGGACTGGTTATCCGCTCCAACAAACAGACAGACTTGTTTACGAGTATATATATATATTTGATCCTCACTGGGTGCCTCATACTTTCGGACTTGTGCTACATCTGAGCTACGCTTGGAAAATCACTATACGAGAACTGATATTACATTATAGTTCAATACTCTTGTTTTTGTTTCTAACGAAAAGTTTATATGTCTTAATACTTTGCTTAGCTTTTGGAAGACATCTTTCGCTGTTCCAATACGTTTTTGAATTTCAGTGTTTCGCTTTGCGTCCTCTGTTAAAAATCGACTCTAACGATTTTCATCTCGTCTTTTACCTTTCCTTCTCTGTCTTTCTCCTATCTTTTACCTTCTCCCACCTCTCTCTCTCTCTCTCTCTCTCTCTCATTTAGTTCCATTCCTTTTCTATTCCTTTCTCTTTCTCCCAGAATAGATCACACTTCTCTTTATCTTACTCTGTTTCTTCCTCTCTCATAAACGTTTCGTTTTCTTCTCGCTTTCTAACGTCCATTTGCCTTTTTCGTTTTGTTCCTTTCTATCTCTTGTATATATCCCTCTCTCCTTATCTGTCTGCTGATTTCTCTCTTTTGTCAATCGCAGCTGTTTCATCGTAATTGATTCCAACGTCATGTATACGTTTTCCTTACCACCGAGATATTTCTCCGTACATTTTACGAGGACGTTATTTAAATTCATTTCTATTGCATTAGGCGCAGTATAGTCTCATCAATTGACATTAATAAATAAAGATTGACCAATAAAAAAGCAATAAATATTTTCAAAAGCAAAACAGTGATTTGAACAAAAAAAATGTCTATGTAAATTCTTATTCTGATAGTCAAATAAAGGTTGACCAGTTCCTTGTTTTGTCGACTTCGTGTTGGTACGCCATTCCTGTGGCCTTTTAACTTTCCAAAAAAAAAAAAAAGCGAAAAATATGGATGCAGACACATATAACAATAAAGAGGTGCATACGAAGTTCAATCCTTAAAACGATTAAAAAATGGATTGTGCACTTCTATTTTTATGTCCCCGATTGGGATCTGCAGACTGAAGCACAAAGACCGGTCAGCCATTCCTCCATTTTCTTTCTCGTCCTCTTCGAATTACCATATATATACCGTATTTGACGGCATATAAGACGTACGAGTGTATAAGACGCACCCCAATTTCAGCAGGGCAAATCAAGAAAAAAATTAGTAATTAGTAAAATTATTAGTAAATATACAGCCTACACTATATTTATAAGGTATTCTTTTGTTTAAACTAGCCATGATTATAATTAAACGAAAAATAATAGAAAAAAAAAAGAACACGAGCCTATAAAAACTTTATTATATTCAAAGGTAAGAAAACAAAATGAAAATAAAGCAATTATTACAATTGAACAGTACAGTTACCAATAAAATTCAGCCAAAATTTTTCCTTGATATGATGTGTACAACCTGCGTCTTGTAAAAGTCTTATTGAAATAATTAGGATATAAAAATTCTGATTGTATTTATACCAATGCAACCGGAAGTTATCGCAAGAAAAATATTAGTGAAACAAATATATTGTACAACTATATAATTTGAATTTATTGCATATAATTTTAGTGAAACAAAGTACTAATATTAAACGTGATGAAATTAATATAATGGATATTATCAATGATAACATTTTTAATCTGCATAATAGTCTTTTAAATAATGACACTAGGTATATGGAAGTTACTCTAAAGTTTAAGCTAATAGGAGTTTCCAGATAGCTAATTTCCTCCGACTATCGCGAATTTAAAACCTACATATGGCATGTAAGAGGCAACGGAATTTTAAAAGATATTTTTAGTAAAAGAAAGTGCGCATTATATGGCGTCAAATGCAGTAACTATAATTTAGTTATTACCGTACTTAAAATTTTTTTATCATTTTGTTCTTCGATAAAAATAATGTCTTGTATGTTTTTTGCCAAAGCTATTACCAAAATTAAATAGTGTCTATTTTAATGGTTACTAGACCACGCATACACACACTGGGTTCCTTTTTAAAAGCAGTTCATGATACAAAATGATAAGCTAACAATATTATTAATTTTATTACTAATTACATATATTATAATTTGTATTTGCAATACAAATTATTGTAAAACCATTATTACTCACATTTATTACTTAGATCAAACGCAATAATAAATTATTAATATTAATTTATTTTATTATACATACATGTTTCTCTCTTTCACATTTATTTCAAAATACGTAAAGGCGGCAAACCAGTGTACATTTATTTATTTACCATCAAGTCATGTGACACAATTTTGCAGCCATACAGATTAAGTTTTACAATAGCACACCTTCATGGCGTCTTCACCTATTATGGACTTGCCAAACATCCGATATATCTGTTTATAAAGTTCTAATGTAGTGTAGTGAATTGTATAAATATATGCTGTGTTATGTGTATTTAAATTTATTTAATAATGTTATATATAATATATTGTGAATGTTTATTACTTTTACACATATAACAATTGGAATATAATATGCAAATGTTTCCTTATATACGTGAATTTATATTAGAATGTGTATCGGAATCAAATACAAAATTTTCTCTTAAAAAAGCCGTAAAAACCTAAAAACTGCCCTAGCTCAAGAACCCCCCCCCATCTAATTTTAAGGAATTTTGGCACTGCTATCAGCAGGCGTTCAATATACTCCTAAATTAGTTGGGGTATCATGTGCCGTTTAAGCTGTATCTCGGGTACACACATACATACAAGGTTAGAGTTTTATTATTATATAGATAATAAAACTTTTGCTCTCCTGAGAAAAACGGATTTGAAAATTCAACAATAGGTTACTGAAAACAAACCTGGTGAATTCTAGACAAATAATCAACCATTCTGATCAAAACAATAAAGCTTATGACACTCGTCCGAATAACTGTAATATTAAAACTTATGAATATGGAACATTTAAGATGACAGACTCCTATAGTATGATAGTGAAAGCCTGGACAATTTTCTCAGTGATGAAGAAGAGACTTGAAGCAACAGAAATGTGGTTCTACAGAAATATGCTGAGGATAGCGTAGAAAGATGTAAACAACCGCGAGATTTTAGAGAAAATGGATACAAAAAGAAAACTTATTCTTAACATCAGGAAGAGACAGTTGTAATTTCTGGGGCATATAAAGAGGAAAGAGGGCTTGGAAAATCTGTTACTCACAAGACAGTTTGAACGTAAGAGGAACAGAGGAAAACGACGCATAACATACTTGAGTAAATGAATGATGGAACAGGGTTTAGAAATAAAGAAAGGATAGAATTTATTTAGAGTTGCAAAGGACAGGAGGTTGTGGAGAGCTATGATCGCTACGTCCTGAGGGAAAACGGTACATAAACAAGAGCTCTTAGACGAAAAGAAATAAAAAGTGTCGTGAAAACAGAATTCACTAGCTGCTTTGTGTCATCATGGATTTGCATGTTAATTAAAATCTAGGGGGGGTTTGTAACAATCTATATCGACATGTAGTGATAGTTTCTTATAAGGAACGTACAAGTTAGAATAGTCTGCTCTGGTAAAATTTTAAAATATGATTATAGGAACAATAAATTTCCTTTTTTGGGGGGTAGCTAGGATTTTACAAATCAGCAATAAAAAATCGTTTTGTGCTTGGTAGGTATTTAACTCAGACGAATATTTATACCCAGATAAAGCCGAGTGCTTACAAAGGTTTTCCCAAACGATATTTAAAGGAAAAAAAAAAAAAAAATTAGGTTGAGGAAATTGTTTGTCGATTGACCTCTTATAAAACACCCCCAAATTAGGGCATCTGATAACAGTGGAAATTTCTAATCAAAATTAGGATAAAATAAAAACAGATATCAGAATCTGCAATAGCCGGGCCGAATCCAGGTAAAAAAGTCACAGGAAAAAAGTCACGAAGTAACAGAAAAGAAACATGACAATGTTAGCACTGTTTCTGCGTCTTTAATAGACATTTTTAAACCTCAAGTTAACCTTACCATAACCCTAGTATCCCTAACGCTAATACCCTTAACCCGAAAACAGCGTGAATAGCGTAAATCTCCGATCTCCGTTCTGTTGTGGATTATCAATAATTGGATTTAGTGACAAATACTATTCATACTTCCTGTCATTGAAATTATTGACAGTAATAAACTTGGTTAAAACATCTGCTATAATGCGCTTATGTATATCAAACATATCACTCACTAAATCAAGTTGTGACTTTTTTCCTAGACAAAATTGTGGCGTTTTTCTTGTGACTTTATAACCGGTCACGGGCCAGGCAATTAGCTGGTGTACATTTAGAATTAGATTTGATATGTTGATTTCCAAAGCGTAGCTTAGATGTGGCACAAGGCCGAAAGTATGAGGCACCGAGTGAGGATTGAACTGTTTTAGCGAGACAAGCTTGCTAACCATTACACCACGACGAGGTGCCCAAATTAGATTTGGTATGTGCCAACTAACTTTTTAAACAACAGAATATTTTTTCGAATAACCGGATTTTTGACTAAAAAATCAGTTGACAGACCCGAAGATGCAAGTGTAAAATTTGTTGATTTTATTTGAGTAAGAACAAAAAAAAAATTCCCTCTCCCACCCCACCCCCAAAAAAAAACAACAAAAAAACCCAGCAAACAAACAAACATAGTATTAGTCAAAAGTTACTGAGAGCAAGTCAGTCACCAAGTGAGAGATTGTCGCCTGACCCCGCGGATTGTAGAAACTTCGAGTGTTCGACCAAAGACAACATATCAAGGATCTTTTAAAAGATCTGTGACGTTGAATGCTAGTAAACAGCTAATGGAATTTGATTCCAAGTTCAAATCATGCTATTGGGGCTGTGAGTTATTTTCAAAGTTACTGCGTCAATATCGTAAAAGATCATTTATACATCATCAGGACATCTTGTAAATTTACGTTAATTTCAGTAGTTACATTTTGTTTTCCTTAAGTTAGTATATGAGCTAAACACATAAAGCCGGACTCATCAATCAAACACTGGTTCTCCATTAGTCCTGATAAGTCAATTTAATATGAAATATAAACGCATGCATTTTAAATAATAAATGCATATATTCGTATAATTATCAGTATGTATTATTCATTACATGATAAGAGCAATAAGATTATACACACATTCTCAGAGGCGAAAATGCAAAAAAACGCACGCACTCATATATTTATTATTGCGTAGATAAGAGTGATATATATATATATGTATATTAAGAAATGGACAAAGTCCGACAATTTATTAAAGACATTTTTATATTTAACATTTTTTTTTTATAGATACAAGCATTTAAGTAAAAAGCTCTGTTTATAATAAACAGTATTAAATAACATTTAACGGCCTGAATGTCCGATAAATTTTCATAGAAAATATTCGTCCTTTGACAGTATTCGAACCTGCATCCTATACGGAACCATCATTTAGCTTGACGTGCCTAACCATTTCAGGCCACAAAGGCTCGTTCTGTTGGCAAGAACGAATATATATATATATATATATATATATATCTTACGATTTAATATTCTTCATGTACATATACGATGGATATAAATGGATATATATATATATATATATATATATATACGATGGATAAATTATATATATATATATATATATATTATCCCTCAAAACTTTTCTTTAATAATAACGTTCTTACGATTTAATATTCTTCATGTACAGGGTACGATGGATAAATATATATATATAAATATATATATATATATATATATATATATATATATATATATATATATATACGATGGATAAATTATATATATATATATATATATATTTTCCCTCAAAACGTTTCTTTAATAATAACGTTCTTACGATTTAATATTCTTCATGTACAGGGTACGATGGATAAATTATATATATATATATATATATATATATATATATATATATATATACGATGGATAAATTATATATATATATATATATATATATATATATATATATATATATATATATATATATATTTTCCCTCAAAACTTTTCTTTAATAATAACGTTCTTACGATTTAATATTCTTCATGTACAGGGTACGATAGATAAATTGTCGTCGAAATTACGCGAAAATAAAATATCACTGACGACTTATTTTAACAGATTTATTTACTAAAATTAGACAAAAATATCTTGAAATACTAAAGAGGAAATTTAATCAATAGAATTGTCATTGGCTACAACCATGGCCTTCAGACGACTTCCGATTCTCTTGCAGCTCTTCTGGACAGTCTCCTTGTTTAAGTTGGTGAATGCCGCCATAATCCTTGCCTTCAGTTCATCTTTGGTGTTACAAGGAGTTTTGTTGGTCTCTCGCTCAACTGCACCCGACACATAATAATCAAGGTGTTTGCAGTCTGGGGAGTTAGGTGGGCAGATGTAAGGTGTTATGTGGTCACATAAATTGACTGACTTGTGTGGCATGGTGCAGAGTCCTGTTACTAGACATACATACTTCTAGCAGCCACCCTCTTGACCCAGGGCAGCAGGACCTCCTCAAGCCATTTGATATAGGTCTCCGTATTCAGCCTGAGCGCATAACGTCGCCATCACTACTGATCACACAAAACACCTTCGTAATCACCATTAGACTCATCCAACTTCACGAATCCGCTGCACTGTCCTCAGATTGACACCCAAACACTCTGAAATGTTCATATTGGAGCTTCCAGGGCGAATGACAAGTAGTACAGCATGCTGTTTCCAAATTTATGGGGGAGTGAATTGCGTCATGGTGACCTTTTCTTCACAGACGGTGCCCAACTGACCCTACTATACTGCGCAGTCGACAAAATCAAAAACAAACAAAGCGAATATATATATATATATATATATATATATATATATATATATAATATACATACATACATACATATATATATATATATATATATATATATATATATATATATATATATATATATATATATATATATATATATATATATATATATATATATATATATATATATATACATATATATATAAATATATAATATATGTGTGTGTATATATATGTGTGTGTGTATATATACATATATATATGTACATATATATATATATATATATATGTATGTATACACATACACACACACACACACACACACATATATATATATATATGTTTAGAGTATATGATCAGCGACAGTTTGAATATATGCAAAACTAAATACGAATTAGCATGAAAAACTATTTTAAAATATAAAATTTAAATTCTAAACATTGCAAATTAAAACGGTCGCATAAGGAGAGAAGTCATTTCTCCGTTTGTTTTTTGTTTGTTATTTAATTAGTTTATTCATTTATTTATTTTCTCTTTCCTTCCATTCTTCTATCTATCTATCTATATATCTATCTATCTATCTATCTATGAAATATGTTGTAAAAAGACCCTGGCTTAATTCTCTTTTAAAACCGACAACACGAAGAATCATTACTGACATGGACGCGTGCCCGAAAGCACGGAGTTCATGAACACCTGTAAATAACGCTTCTTTTCTATTTATTGGTGTCTTTTGGGCGACATATGCGTGCGTGCGCGTATGAGCGCGTATACACACACACACACACACACACACACACACACACACACACACACACACACACACACATATACACGTGTGTGTGTCTGTCCGTGCGTCTGTTTAAAATTTACTGTATTTGTCATACTCAATAAGAGATAATCCATTTGCATATAAATATATATATATTTATGCACGCATACATATCAATATATATCAATATATATATATATATATATATATGTGTGTGTGTGTGTGTGTGTGTGTGTGTATGTATTGCAGTGCACGGGAATATATTCAGACCGTTGGACTATAACTGATTATTTGAATTTCAATAAGCGAACGACAAATTGCCGCCAGAATTCTTTCCTTCAAGAAAGGTTTGCTTGCCTATTTGTTATATTTGAGTGAAAAAGCAGATAGTTGTAATAACAGTCGAAACACACACGACATTTTACCGAATCTTATGAAAGTGCAGACTCACTACAAATCACCGGGGTCAATCTTGGCTGCGGCTGTCGACGTTATTGTAAATATTAATAAGCATCATACAATTTTCTTTTCTATTGAACACGAGTGAAACGCACCCATTTGAACAGACGTAACAGATATACACGACAGTATACACACACGCGCATACACGCACGAACACGCACACACACACACACACACACACACACACACACACACACACACACACACACACACACACACACATATATATATATATATATATATTTCAGATAGAGTATATCTGTAAAAGGACAATATGAAAAAAGATAACACGAAAACTTATCTTAGCCGACGCGTTTTGATCTCGAAACCTCTTTTTCAAGAGATTTTATCAAGGCAAATGTAAATGGCATTTGCCAAAATAGAGTCTCTGACAGGACGAAACTTTTTATATATATATATATATATATATATATATATATATATATATATATATATATATATATATATATATATATAATATATGAATATTGGTACACGTGAAATAAAATTCCAGTAACTAAATGTACTGTTCTTAAAATGGCGTTCGGTACCGAGTAGAGGTAATAATATTTATTCAGATTTATAACATATGCATATTATAAGATTATTACAAAGTTGCAATTTTTGTTTCACATAGCTAGTGTCTTATCAAGTGATAATGTTGGATGGAAAATAAACGATTTTAACGATTTTAAGGTAAAAATCGTTTATTTTCTATTCAACATGATCAGTTGAAAAGACAACTTTGTAGTTATTGAAACAGAAATATGTTATAAATTTGTCTTAAATATATATATATATATATATATATATATATATATATATATATATATATATATATATATATATATATATATTCTACTAATCCAAACGTTATTTTAAAGGACCCATACTTAAATAGAAGACCTGTTCTTTTGCGTTTTTTTTTAAATAGTGTGAATTACGGCTACCGGCCTATGCACTGTTCACTTTCTGTTAGGGTTAGAACCACCGCTCACCTTTGTAGAAAATGCCACAGTCTGATCATGCTTTAGACCAATCTATCGAGAGTGTCACAAGCCAGTAAGGTTCAATTACCCTTTTGACGAATGCACAGCATAAACTTAAATGCCCTATATATACATATATGTATTATGTATGTGTAGATGTGTGTATGTGTATTACGATCCCTTACCGGCTGACATGACCTCTCCTGTAGTCGATTACAAAAATACTTCTCCCGCAGAGTCTTCATTAATCACATTTATGACTTCATCAGATATGACCGCCCTGGGTAAGACGATAAACTACGTCCGCGTCCTGGGTTAGACGATAAACTACGTTCGCGTCCTGGGTAAGACGATAAGCTACATCCAGTAGCAAGGCCTCTGATCAGGAGGTTTTGAGGGGCGTGGAACTACCTCTTAATTGTTGGTGTTCTCCGGTCCACCCTGACCCGGGGTGGTAGCACCTGTTAGGTTCCTAGCTATAGGCAAATAGTTGACCCCAACCTGATTCAAAACAGTATGAATGTGTAAAAATAGGTTTTAATACCAGAAATACTATGTAAAAAAAAAAAAATACTACCAGCAATAAATAAATAATTTTCTTTCTTAGAGACGGCCAACTTATCTAAAACTTGAGTTACGAAACTGAAGAGATATGAAATTTCAAGAGTTTATGTCGATAAGGATTTTTCTTAAAGGTACTATTCAGCATTACTTGAGCAACAAAAGTTCTTCGTGGCCGAGTAGGTTAAAGCACGCCTGATATAAGTTTTATATATATATATATATATATATATATATACGGGCAAAAGTTTGTAAGGTGTGTAGGCCGGTAACACTTAATGAATGCTGTTCAAAATAAAACAGAGCATCTACTGAAATAATGTTTGAAGTAATAAAAATATGCCGTAAGAAAAAAAATTCAATCGAATAATTCTTTAAGTTGCTTTCTTTACGTTTCAAAACTAAGCAGATATGTCTTTCGAGAAACCTGAACGAGTGTGTGTGCTTTAAAGGCAAATAGAAATATATATATTCTAGCTTAAAAGCCGCCTTATTGGACGGCATTTGAGCTAACTCTTGCGGAGAGTTCTTGATTGGACCTTCATGACAGTAGTTAGGGAGAAGTGGATGCGATAAGCGATAAGCAACAATAAACTACAGAAGAACTCAAAAAAAATTGCAAAAGTGCAAAAAATCTCGAAAAAAAAAAGAAGAAGAGAAACCCGGCGAAAGCAATCGCAGTAATTTCAGGATTCCGGGTCCGGGTCTGGCCGGGAATGTTTTTAATTTGCTCACGGAGTCGGCCTGATTCCAAATGTTGGGCTACGGTCCCTAGGAGGAAAGTTGAAAACACGGACAATTTTTATCTTGAAACACTGTAGTATGAGAGCAGTA